TTACCTTTGGAAAATCATACAATTACCTCATGGGGAGTTAGCCGCACCCACGAATGATATAAATACTACTGTTTGCTTTTGGCTTTTACTCACATCAGTGGCATATTTCTATGCGGGTCTTACAAAAAAAGGATTAGGTTATTTTCGGAAAATATATTCAACCAACCCCAATCCTTTTTACCCATTAACATCTTAGAAGATTTTCACAAAACCTTTTATCACTTTAGTTTTTCGACTTTTTCGGGAATATCTTAACTGATGAATTAAGAGGCTCTCTGAATCAGCCTGCCGCGGTTCTACCGCGGTCGCGGTAGAACCGCGTTCAGAGAGACCCTCTGAACCTTCAGCAGGGTTCTGGCGTATTTTCAGCAGTGATTTGGCATTTAATTAATTATTAAATAATTAAATAAATTTTGTCCAAAAATAATCTTATCGATCGTTAAGCCGAAGCCGAGCCGAGCGAGCGACGACGACGGCGCGAGGGTTCATTCTCTTCAACTCCTTTTAAGAGCTTTAAGAAGTGATTCTATATATAANGAATAAACCCTCCTGCAACAGTGGCAATACAAACTGCAGGATACCAACGAACTTAAAGAACGGAGCAAAATCACACTTACGAATTTGAGAGAGAGAGACTGCGAATTAGAATGCAGTATATTCAGAAAGAAAGAAGTTCTGGAGTGTTTTTCGTGTGTAGAAAATGGAGCCTTGCCTCAGAATTTATAGGCAATTATCAGAAGAGGTGTATGGAAAAGGTTCCTTTTCAGAAGAATACGCTGCCTGCCGCGGTTCTACCGCGGGCGCGGCAGAACCGCGGTCAGAGAGGCTCTCTGAATCAGCCTGCCGCGGTTCTACCGCGGTCGCGGTAGAACCGCGTTCAGAGAGACCCTCTGAACCTTCAGCAGGGTTCTGGCGTATTTTCAGCAGTGATTTGGCATTTAATTAATTATTAAATAATTAAATAAATTTTGTCCAAAAATAATCTTATCGATCGTTAAGCCGAAGCCGAGCCGAGCGAGCGACGACGACGGCGCGAGGGTTCATTCTCTTCAACTCCTTTTAAGAGCTTTAAGAAGTGATTTTATATATAAGCACACAAATGTGGTTGTCCCTCACCAATGAGGGACAAAGTGCAAGACAAAAGTTCACTTCTTCAAATTTTCAATTTTCCTCCATTTTATTTCCCTCCATTTCCAATTCACACTTCTTCTACTCCAATGGCTTAAAGTCCAACATGTACTTCATTCTTGTTATCTACAAACTCCCTAGCTAAAATCTCAGAGCTTATCATTATAAAAATAGCCAAATAAAGGCCAAGAAACAGAAATCCCTTGAAACCCATTAGGCTTAGTTATATTAAAGGATGGAGAGGACCATTAGGCTCTATTTATAGTAAGAGCTGAATGCATTACAGATGAAAGGAAAGGGAATTACTTGGAGGCGTGAGGGGCAGGGGCTGGGGCTGGGGCGGAGCTAGGATTAGAAGGTTTTGAATTCTAGGATAGTAAAGTGTTATTAACTTGGTTTTGAATTTAATGTTTGTATGTAATGAGTTTCCTAACACATATACAAACTTCAGTCTAAAAAATTATTAGGTTTTGCCGAACTCATATGTTAAAGGCTAGCTGCCTCCGCCAGTATGAGGATACATGTGGGGTGTGTTTAATTGATTATGGGAATATGTGGACCACTATTGATTTGGTAGGTGAAGAGAGTGAAGAAATTCTAGAGTTTACATTGACTTTTTCTCAAAGCAAAAGAACTAAATTCTAAAAAATTCAGTAGAAAACAAGTCACCAAGATCAAGATTATGTTGCACGAAGAAAAAATCTTCATATAATTACTCCAAAGGAAATAAAAAAAAACTGATCGATATGTGGACTGCATGTAAAAGTCAATTCCTTGGGTCATATTGCTGTTACGTCTATGATATTTGGTATGATGTTAGTGAATCATTAGAATTTAGAGTCACTACATATACAACTCATTACGCGCGTACCAATATTTTTCAAGGGAGTGTTCATTAATCATGCAATCAGAAAAATTGATATTGTTAATGTCTTTTCACCCCAACCATTTAAAAAATTAAAAGCACCTACTAAAATCATTTACCAACTCGCTCTATCACACGACACATATTCCTTTTTGGTAGGTGAAGAGAAGAAATTCTTAAGTTCACATTGACTTTATTGCAAAACATAAAACTGAATTCCAAATTTCAGTAAAAAACGAGTCATCCAGATCAAGATTATGTTGCATGAAGAGAATTCTTGACACATTGAGATTTAGAGTGACTATGCACCTCGTTTACACGCGTCCCAATGTTTTTCAAGGGAATGTCCAGCTACCTGCCATGCAGACATTATTGTTTTCTTCTGCGATCAACCAAATATTACTTTATTTAATTAATTGAAATTTTATGTTGAAATTTTTGTTTACGCAACCAGACAACTCCTAAGATTATGAAACAAACAATATATGTCATTCTCTTATCATGTTGTGCAAACATATTTGTCGTCTAAAATGTTGTAGATACTATTGTGATCGCTTATTAATATTAGACTAGTTGAGCTAAAAACAAATTAAACCACTTTGATGCTTTGTATGTTTGGTTCATAGCTTTAAAAGTATAATAATTTAATTAAAAATAAGTACTTGATTTTGAACTGAATAAACTCTTGCGTTCAATTGTACAACATTAGGAATGTATAAAGGTATGTATACATTAAAAAATGCTATTAAAGTAGGGTAATTGTGTAATTGGATCTTTTAATCCAGGTATAGCTAATTATCATATTATTATCACAGATCGAGTGTGGGATAAAATAATATAATGATTCTTGTACAAAATTATTCATATATTTGTTGGATCACAAGTTGTGCAGCAACCCAGTCCACTATCAAGGAAGCCCACTAGAGTTGAACTGGCCCAACTAAAGCCTCTCTGACACACATTTGTATTGGACTATTGTAACTTAATAAGACCCGGTCCAATTATTGTAATTAGTGGATCTGATTCATTTTGTACAGATGGCTTGACCATCGAATAAGAAGAGAAACATCATTTTTCTTTTGTTCTCTCTCAGACCTTGAAAACTAGGGTTTGCCATTTACATTTTCCCTTAAATATACTTCGATCCTTCATGTTTTTATGGTACCAAAGCCATCAATGGCTTCCTTAGATCATGGCCTTTCGAGCGATCCTACCCTTGCCACTTGATTTTGCCGATTTCCTTAGAAATGCTCTTGCTTTTCAAGTTTTTGAAGAAGTTTTTCTCTTTGTGTTTGATGTCGTTTTGACTTCTGCTCTCTGAAGTCTCTGGTGCATGATTTTATATTTCTCGTTTGTGTTTGAGTGAATTAAAGTCCTAAATTTTGGCCGTGTGAGTTTAAGTATGGGTTCTACTGGTGATTCCTTAACTGCTTGTATTGTTTCCATTTTTGTTGAGTAGTCTCACCCATTGTACCTCTATCCCTCCCATTCCCTCGGGATTATACTGGTTTCCAGCACTTTCAATGGGCTGGGTTATGGAAGTTGGAGAAGAAACATGCTAATAGGGTTGTCCTGTAAGAATAAATTAGGACCGATCAATGGATCAGTTGCTAAGCCAAGTGCCGAATCTGCTTTGTATGAAGCTTGGTGTCGATGCAATGACATGGTCACTGCATGGATACTCAATAGCCTTGATATTGAGATTAGAGAAAGTGTAATGTACACTGAGTCAGCTCAAAAGTTATGGAAGAAATTAAGCAAAGGTATGGCAAACCTAATAGGACTAAGGTGTTCCAAATTCGCAAGGACTTATCTTCCATTTCCTAGGGTTCTTCTTCGAGTGCATCCTGATTTTTTAAATTAAAAAACTCTGGGATGAACTTGCCTTCTCTGTTTCTTATCAAGAGTATGTATGTGGGTATTAGGAAGCTTTTTAAAAAATGAAGAAGATCAAAACGTTCATCGGTTCTTAATGGGGTTGAATAAGTCATATTATGGAGTCAGAAAAAACATTCTTTTACTGAAGCATCTACCTGATATCGACACTGTATATGCTATGCTAATTGTGGATGAAAGTCAGGTTGATATCAAGCCCCTAAATTCTCTGTTTGGTTCAGAATCTGCATCCTTTTCTTCTAGGACACAAAAACTATTTGCATCATTTTCTACTTTACTGCTTTTACACAAAAAAGTCAATTTGGACAATTCAAAGAGGAGTAATGGCAATATGATATACAAATACTGTAGAAACTTGGGGCATTCCATTGACAAGTGTTATAAGCTTCACGGTTATCCTCCTGGTTTTGGGTCTAAATTCAGGAAAACTGTAGCATGTGTCGAAGCCTCAGAGTCAGGGGGGTTCTGATACTTCCAGTAGTGACTCTTCTAAAGCCATTCCGGTTGGTGTTGGGGGTCACTTAATGACTAAGGAGCAGTATGATCACCTTGTTTCGTTTCTTTAACATTCTAGGGTCTCTTCTGCTGCTCAGGAATTCACCACTGGATCTGCCAACTTCGCAGGTCTGTTTGGTAATTCTGATTTTAATAGTTGTGGGTTCTATGCTTGTAATTTTAGGATAGAGGATACTTTATGGATGATAGACTCTTGTACAACGAATCACATGACTCCTCACAAGTCCTTGCTCACTGACATCAAACCTTTGCATATACATTGTCTTATAACCCTTCCTAATGGTTATAAAGTTAAGGTGACTTGCACTACTTCACTTTCTCTTTCTTCAACTATCTCTCTTCTTAATATCTTGCTTGTTCCTTCCTTTCATTATAATCTCATATCTCTGCGTCTTTACTTCTTCGTTTTCAATGCAATGCATTTTTTACACCTTATGCTTGTGCTTTATTGCAGGGCCCTTTTCTGAAGAAGCCACTAGTTCTTGATAGACTTCAGAAGGGGCTGTATAATTTACAAACTGATGAGATATGTTTTTCTGATTCTTCTGGAAGTTCCTCTGTGAATACCACAACTGCCAATTTGAGACCAATGAATAAGAGCAGTTTTAATTCAAGTTCTTGTGCTTCTGTGTCTCATGTTGCTTCTACTCTTTCTATTGCTTCTTTTTCTGCATTGTCTTTTGATCATGCTTGGCATTTAAGGCTAGCACATTTAACTTTTGCTAAAATGAAAACAAGACATTTTCTGTCTGACAAACTTCCTAAAAAGCAAAGTTTTATTTGCCCTATTTGTCCCATTGCTAGGCAGTAAAGGCTACCATTCCATAGAGTTCCACTTATTCTCTTTCCCCTTTTCAGTTGTTTTATGTAGATATATGCCACGACCCAAAATTCACAAGTCGTGATAGCACCTAACTCGACCTGTTAGGTCAGCCAATTAATATTTAACACAATCCTAATAAAATAAATGTGATCAATCATCGATATAACTGAATTTCCATACAAAATTCCAAGGACTAGTAGTACAAGACATGAGCTACTAAGACTAGATTGTTGCAAAAACAGATATTAAATAAATACAACTTATGTTTGAAATGTACTTAAACAGAATTCATCTATAGGACTACCCAGGGACAAGTGGTAGCCACATCCAGAAGGCACGAACGTCTTCAGAGTCAGCTCCCGACATCAATCGCAGCTCCGCTCCAAAATCTGCACGCAAGGTGCAGAAGTGAGTATGCCCATGTACTCAGTAAGTATCTAGACTGACCTCGGTGAAGTAGTAACGAGGCTTTTTAGTTAAAAGACACTCACTGACATAACCTGTACTATAAACTAGCAATAGAACAGTACTACAATATAACAGAAAAGAGGACACGAAATGAATATGCGAAGCAATAACTGAGTACTAGAAGAGGCTAGAATTTCACATTTCCCAATATCTCGACCAATCCTTTCCTTAGAGCGATAACCAACAAACCACGATAGTAACTCCATAACTTTCATAGTATGAGGAACATACTCAAGATGTCAAATCAAATGGCACGACAACACCTTTCATGTATTTATCTCAGCCTCACAAAATATACGTATAACAGTACCAACCAGGTAAAAAAAATGCTGATAACAATAGTGACACGGTATAGGAAATACACAAGTAACAATGATGAACAAGGCAGTACATATGAAAAACGGTAATAGACTAGGTAGGAGGCATAGGAGTAATGACATCAATTAGGAAAGAAGAACATAATTTCACCTGACTAGCATGGTAGTAGGCATAGATGTAGATATAACAAATAAGAGGGGAAAGCATGGTCTTTATAAGCTAACGCATAGAGGCGTCAACGGTTAACATGGTAGAAGTCTTATACTAAATTGAAACATTATGGATACGGCATGGATGTAGATATAACAGCAAGATGGAAAGCATGATATTTGCAAGTTAAACAGATAGAAGGCATGAAAAACAGAACAACAATCGAGATAGAGGACAAAGACAGAACAACAACGACACATCACGTAGATAACATAGGTGCAACAGTAGTAACCCCAGGTAAAGGCATGAATGTACACACAAGGAAAAGATATCACAACGTAATGCATGTACCTTGTTTTCGCCTGCACGGAAACACCCTTTGTGCAATGAACTCATGATAATATAAAAGCATGGTAATATAAATAAAATGGCACGACATCACCCTTTGTGCTTTTACTCTCATCCTACATGATAATGCAAATTAGATCAGGATAACATAAATAAAATGGCACGGCATCATCCTTCGTGTTTTTACTCTCAAATGAAACAGCACAACATCACCCTTCGTGCTTTTACTCTCAAATGAAATGGCATGGCATCACCCTTTGTGTTTTACACTTCTCTTCACATGATAAAATATATGAAATGGCATGACATCACCCTTAGTTCTTTACACTCTCCCTCACGTGATAATATGTATGCAATGGCACGGTATCACCCTTCGTGCTTTACACTCTTCCTTACCAAGTATATGTATATAAATGACAAACAAGGTAGGAAGCATAAATAACGTCAAGGAGAGTATTTAAACGAATATTCCAAATGAACCCCAATCACAAATTTGAAGCCAACAATAGTTCAATAAACCCTCAAGAACATTATTATTCAAGTATTTCAACAAATCTCAAGAATGATTTACAAAATGAGTATAAAATCTAATATCTCAAAAATATCGACCGTAGCAATGTATTAATGATTAAGCATAATGATGACCGAATTATTAGACACATCAATGTTTCTCAAAATTCCGTCAAATTTTAATCAAGTTATAATAAACTAAATCTCGGTTTCTAATATTTAATTCCATATTCTTAGTGATCTAGAAGTCAAGTAGGACATGTGATGGTAGGCGATAATCCTGTATTTTAGTCACTTATAGCACTCTAATTTACTGCATTTTAATTGAGTTTGAGCTTTAATCGCTAGTGTTTTGCACTAATTGTGTGTTTTATGCCTTGTAGGAATGATTCCGAGCTATGTAGATGCTATGGAGCTTAGTCGAGCTATTTGGAGCTTTGAAGTCTGTGTGAAAGCCCAAAGGATAAAGCCGGGATCACGTTAGGGGGTCGAGAACCACATCTAGATATCAAAAAGTCAAGAAAAAGCCGGACTCTGAGAATCTTTTCTGCTGCTGTGAATTTGCAAGGCCTCTGATAAACTCCATTGTTGCCTCGCGTGGCATATTGCCCCGTGCGGCGTGCCTGTGCATTTTTTACAGAGTAACAATCCAATTTCGGTTAGGAGAAGGTGGTTTCGTTTGGGCCCGACCCTACTTAGTATAATACATGTAAAAATGTTATTTTTGGGAATTTTCACACATCTTAGACCTAAGGAAGCTAAGGAGGAGGTGCAGAAGTAAAAGCACAAGGATTTCATCATTCAATCCCCACTCAAGACACGAGTTTCGATCGTTTTATATTTTTCTTTAACTTAAACATATTTGTGATGAATTGCTCCATGTCTATGGAGTAGTTCTCTTTAGATTTTGATGTTGTTGGTGTATTGATATTTATTTGTCGATATTAATTCTAGTTTTATGTATTGAAATTATTATGGATGTTTTAACCGTTGCATCTATATTCACTTGTTCATGTAATCGAGAGAGGCATAACTTGTGATATCTATGCATTATATTTTGTTGGTTGAAGTCATTAATTCTTCTTAGTAATTGAAAGAGGTTAGTTGAATTGTTGATTAAACTTAGTTAGGAGGATAATCAAGAGAGGTTCTCCTAAAGACCAATCCATTACGAATTCTTGCATATCTTCACCGAGCTTTAATTGGTTCAGCTTATGAGGTAGAGACTCAATCGAGAGGGGAGTTTATACTAAACGTTTGAACTAATAATCAAGTGAATTCGAGAGACTTGCTTGAACATTGGAAGTGAATTAACTAGAGTTAGATCCCAAACAATTATCTTGCACCTATCCTATCAACCCTATCTTCTCCCAATTGATAACCTTCTTTGCTCATTACTTGCATCGATTGTCATTAGTCAATAATTTATACTCTTAGTTAAATTTAGTTTTAATCACACAACTCTCAATTGTTGATCATCTTGGATAGCAATCTAACTACGAACTATGATATTACTATTTAACTCCAAACCCTGTGGATACGATATTATATTTTACTATATTCGAATAGCGAGCATATTTAAGTGTGTGTTTGCGCTCATCAACATGAAGCAAGAATGGTCATGTAATTCTACAAGGCGCAATTTATAGTATAATTTACCCCCGAGCATGATTAACCCTGGTACATACATATATGCTCGTCACCTCATATATGTATCACCCCCACCCCATGTAGCAAATAATGTCAAATAGTAGGAAAAATTCCCTCAACAAAGTTAGACAAGACACTTACCTCAAACGAGCCAAATTGATACCCTAGAAGCGCCATCCCGCTCAAATTATCCTCCGAACGGCTCAAAATTAGCCAAAAGCAACTAAAATATATCAAACAATGCCATAGGAATTAAACTCAATCGATAAAGGTCGAATCTTTACACATTTACTCAATATCAACCAAAAAGTCAAAACCCGGGCCCGCACCTCGAAACCCGATAAAACTCACAAAATCTAACAAACCATTCAATTAGGAGTCCAACCATACTAATTTCACTCAAATCCGACTCCGAATCGATGTTCAAAACTCAAAATTTTACTTTAGGAAAGTTAACCCCAATTTCTCTTTTGAAACCCTGGATCAAATACCAAAAACAAAGAAAATCAGAAATAAGTAGAGAACACTTACCCCAATCCACATGGTGAAAAATGCTTCAAGAATCGCCTCAATCCAAGTTTGATAGCTCCAAATATGAAAAAATGGTTGAAACCCCCGAAATAGAGTAATTATAACACTGCTCCAGTAATACTCATCGCGATCGCGGGAATACCTTCGCGATGCGAAGCTTTACACTTCGCGTTCGTGGTACACTCCTCACGAACGCGACTCACAGCTGGCTCAGAACATCGCGAACTCGGCTCCAACTACGCGAACGCGATGAAGAAGGCCTTCAGCTCCAGCTCCCAGCTCACACTATGTGATCACGATCCCTCATACGCGAACGCGAAGAAGACTTGCTCCAACTCTAAGCGAACGCGTTCGACCTGTCGCGAATGTGTTGAAGAAAATCCCCTAGTTCCATAAATCACTATGCGATCACGGCCATTTCTTCGCAATCGCGAAGAACAATAGAGACATCAGCAACCAGCAGAAACCAGCAACTCCAAGCCAACCTGGAATGATCCAAAACCACCCCGAAACCCACCCGAGCCTCTCGGAACCCCGTCCGAACATACCAACAAGTCCCAAAACATAATATGGACCTACTCGAGGCCTCAAATCACACGTAACAATATCGAAATGACAAATCACACCACAAATGAAAATCAATGAACTTTGAACTTTCAACTTCCAGAACTCGTGCCGAAACATACCAAATCAACCCGGAATGATCTCAAATTTTGCACACAAGCCCCAAATAACATATCGAAGCTATTCCAACCCCCAAAACCATAATCCAAATCTGATGTCCTCCAAGTCATATTCCGGTCAAACATATGAGCTTTCAAAACCATCAAATTTCTAATTTTCGCCAATTAGTGTCGAATCCTTCAAGAAATATCCAAATGCAAATCCGGACATACAACCGAGTCCAAAATCACCATCCGGACCTAACGAAACCATCAAAATTCTATTCCGATGTCAAATGCTAAAAAGTCAAAGTTGGTAAACTCTTCCAACTTAAAGCTTCAATCATGAAGTTCATTCTTCCAAATCAATTCCGAATACCCTGAAAACCAAAACCGAAAATTCACACAAGTCATAATACATCATGCGGAAATACTTGTACCCTGAAACTACCGAGCAAGTTCAAATGCTCAAAACGACCGATCGGGTTTTATGGGGCCCTTATCACACTCAAACTTATAATGGATTCAAATACTTTCTGACTATTGTAGATGACTTCACTAGGGCTACATGGACTCACCTTTTTTCCTCCAAAGCAAATGCTTTTACTGTATTGAAGTCTTTTATTCTTATGGTTCACAATCAGTTTAATTGTTCAGTTAAAACTGTGAGGTCAGATAATGCTTTTGAATTGGGTAGTAGTTCTGAAGTTTCTCTTTCTTTTCTACTCAAGGCATTCCT